CCCCAAAACCCCAAAACCCCAAAACCCCAAAACCCCTATTTTACAAATCTATAATATTTATAAGAAGATGAACATAGATTTGTTACTGCGGAACTCGATTATCCACGAGGCAAACTCGATCCAGATAAATGACAAGAAGGAAGTAATCCGAGCTCTAGAGCATACTTCACTAATGCTGACAACGCAGGAAATCCCTGTTTTTACTGTGAACAACTGGTTGCTCCAGCTGGCTGATTTTTACAACAAAAATGCTGATACCTCTACTCGGTATTTTATTTACAAATTTGTGGAGAAGCACCAGGTTCAGTTATGTGCTAGCGCCCAGAATAACAGAGAGGTCTTGAAGAGGTTCAGCTTTATTTTGACTTCAATCTTGGACCAGAGTAAAATCTTTACTCTGATGATCCTGAAATGCCTGCACAGGCTGTTTAGCGAACACGAGGTGTATATTTATCATTACATTTTGGATATCTTTTTAAGAGGGTTTAAGCAGTATGATAAGAGCAAGCACTGCATGAAAACAGGCAGAAGAGGAGTTATTATGGCCATGGCAGTCAATAAGTGACTTGAGAGTGTTTTGAAGGAGGAATTGGTGGTGCAACGATTAAGTAAGTGGTTTGTAGAAAATTCTTAATGTTCCATATCAACTCAAATTTTTCCGTAAATTACCTCTTTGGAGAAACTGACGGTTGTCAATATAGAAGATACTATCGAGCAGAGCCATCGTTTAAGTGGATGCAATAAAGAAGACATTCTCAAAATTGTATGTGACAACCAAAACTTTAAGGATTATGAAGCCATCAATGAGATCATGATCAAGTGAGTTGCCTTCGCAATGGACACAAAGGACCTCAAATATTTTGCAGGGTGAATGAGCTGCTTCGTGCTGCTAGTTAAGCGATTTCGGCTGCTCAAGGAGACTATCATAAATTTGCTACTACAGATCAAGGAAATGTTGGAAATACAAGCTATTCCAGTTTATAGTGAAGATCCTGAGGAGCTGAAAAGCAGTCAGGACGAGGACCTCCAGAAGCTCATGTGGTACGGGGTCATTACTGCGCTTTCAAAAATTCATATTCTAGGAAGAGATGTAATTAAAGCTATTACTCCAGGTATTCTTTCAAACGAGTTCTTATCTCAAGACGAGAAGGTCATGTTCTGCGTAGACATCCTGATACACAACTATCTCAATCCATTCCACAAGATCAAACATGAAGAGAAATTTGAAGAATGGACTTTATTTGAGTCGACTCTTGAGGAGTCAGACTACCTCCTTTCTAAATTTAGTGGAAACTGGGTTGAGAGAAAGAGCCTAATCAAGGGACTCTATTTGATCAGAATCGTTATTAAAAATCTTGAGGATGGTAAGCTCCAGTATTTTTGTGAATGAGTCTGTCAATATTTGAGCAAGACCAAATACTTCAGCTACCAATTGCTAAAGAATCTTCTTTTCAAGTATCTTTGCAACAGAGAGAAGAGGTTAATCAGAGATGAAGCAATAAAATTGATTTCAACTAAGAAAGAGCGACACATCGACTTTGTTCTTAAGATATTGAAGCTCACATCCGACCTTGATTACTCCAAATTCACTAATTCTGAGGCCATGGCGCTTACAGAGATCACTTCAAAAACACTTAAAGAATGATTGACTATTGTGCTGGATAAACAATTCGTTAACCGTGATACTAAGATAATAAAAATTGTCACTATTTTATCAAATTGTTACCATATCAAATTAACAGAGGAAGATATCGAGCAAATTTCTGGGCTAATAATTGATAATATTAAATTAGAAAAGTTAGAGAAGATATCTGCCCTTGACATCGCTCTTAGGATTAACAATATTGAAGCTATTCGGCTCCAGATCCAGCTATTTGATTTTATACAAGAGTATTTATCCCCACAAGAGCTGCATAAGTCAGATCAGACACCATATGAGTTATGGGTAGGACTTTGAATCACTTTTTTGAAGCAAATTGACTCTGTTTACAGTAATCTATGACTTGGATTATTCAGCCAGCATGAAGCAAATATATCCATTCGCAATCTCTATTTATTAAAGATGGATCTGAATAAGCTGAAGCCAGTTATCGCAAAGCCATTGGGCTATTTCATTGCTCTCGTTGAAATTCTAATATGCTCTATCAGGCTACTTTTAGGCCGCAAAGATTTTGATTGCGCTATCAAAGTGGTCAAATCTAAAAATATTCCTGGAAAATCTAGGATTCTACAAATTCTGCAATCAGGATTTACTACAGATAACTGTCTCTCTACAGAAGGGCTCAAAGAGATCATCAGCAAGACATATTGTTTAATTATGCAATAGTAAAAATTTATGTAGGGGTTTTGGGGTTTTGGGGTTTTGGGGTTTTGGGG